GACACGAACCACGGTCGACTACATGGGAGTCCAGTGACATAGCCATTATGCTAACTGCTGGTTCCCAAAATTTCCCCCTCTTAGGACTAGTAGCAGCCCTATAGGGAATCCACACACAATAATAACAGGCCCATCCAGTAAATGCAAAATAAGAGCTGACTACTCAAGCCTTTTGGGCCCCCTTCAAGAGTACTAGGTTCTTAAAGGGAACTGAGACACGTAAGACGAGTAATCTCTACACTAGAGTGACATTTACTGGAGAGATGCTCAAAAAAGCAGCACGCTGGTCCACCATATTAAACTCCTTAAATTTACGGGAGGCGAAGCACGCCTTGGAATCACAGCAGGGAAGGGCATTCAGGCAAAAGAAATAATTGTGCTGGGACCAGCAGTTGGTATAATGGCTATGTCGCTGAACCCCCATGTGGTCGACCGTGGTTCGGGTCCCGGACCCTGTGGCTTAAACTCACACTGGGCGCGTGCGTGCCCAAGATCAAGAGAAGAGAATAGAGAAGGGATTGCGGTGTGGCCATCCCCCTTGGGCGTGATTTCTCATTTTCTGTCTCTCTGTCCTTCTGGCGGGGGCACGCACCCTGTAGCAAAAAAAAAAAAAAAAAAAAACCCACAAAAAAAAAAAAAAAAAAGAGGGACCAGCAGTTAGCGTAATGGCTATGTCACTGGACTCCCACATAGTCAACCGCGGTTCAAGTACCGGACCCAGTGGCTTAAACTCACGCTAGGCACATGTGCGAGCATGCCCAAGATCCCGAGAGGAGAATGGAGGAGAAGGGATTGCAGCGTCACCATCCCCTCTGGGGGGGAGGGGTGATTTCTCGCTTTCTATCTCTCTGTCTCTGTCTGTCTGGTGAGCACATGCGCCCTATAGAAAAAACCTCTCCAAAAAAAAAGAGAGAGAGAAAAAGATATGTACAGTTCCAAAGGGCAAAAAAGGACGGCCCCTTTTGAACACCGCAGCTAACTTTATGACGTCTATGGCACCTTGACCTGCAGGTATTTAGGTAAATGGGAAAAATTACAAAAGGTAATCTTGGTTAAAATTTTATCAGGCAGAAGCTTCGATAAATCTTTGCACACTAAATTAACAAAATCTGTATTTCATTTAAAAAATGAGTTACTACGTTATTAGTATAAAAATACTCATAAAAAATGACAAAATAATTCCTTTTAAAAGTTAACAAGAATAGGGAACCAGCAGTTAGCGTAATGGCTATGTCGCTGGACTCCCACGTAGTCGACCGTGGTTCGCATCCCGGACCCGGTGGCTTAAAACACGCCGGGTGCGTGTGCGTGCGTGCCCAAGATCCTCAGAGGAGAATGGAGGAGAAGGGATTGTGGCATGACCATCCCCTCTGGGGGGTGATTTCTCGCTTTCTGTCTCTCTGTCTCTCTCTGTCTGTCTGGCTAGCGCACGTGCCCTATAACAAAAAAAAAAAAATTAAAAAAAAAGGTTAACAAGAATATATTTAAAATTATCTCAAAAAAATAAGAGTAAATAAAGCTGCTTCTAAAATTATTAAAAAGGCACCTAAACCTCCTTGTCCAGACAATTTCTGTCTTTTATTATTCCTTCTCCTACCAGGAATAAACTTTGGAAAAATACACATTTAGCAAATTAGTCACCATAATAAATCTATAGGAAAAAGGAAAGCCTAGTCTCCAGTGCAGGGGCAAAGAGCGGGGCAGCTCATGCCACTAGGGGCCATTTCTGCTGGAGTTTTGTTTCATGTAATCTTCGTATTTTTGTTCAAGGGCATAAGTCTTGACTGAGTTTAATCATGTACTTTATCAGTTTTGGAGAGTGTGTTCATCTAATGAGCTTCTTTTTGATTTGCAAAAGTCCTAGATAACATTTTCTGTTTTAGTACAAAACAAATCATCAGTTTTCTGGCAGCAATAGGGCTGGGGTCTTTTTCTTTCTTTCCCCATTTACTAGCAGACAGCAATTTTCTATCTTGTAAAACATCTTAAAATTTTGTTATTCCTTTAAAACCTGAATATTTTCAGTGGTAGTCTTCTCTCAGCCTTTGTCTCATTATTTTTTATCATAACCAAAGTCTCAGTTTTTCTTTTACTGTGGGTCATTACAATGTAAATCTTGGATTTCCAAGCCCCCTTTAAAAAGTCTTGCTTTGTTTTTTATGTTTGTTTTTATCCTGGTCTTTGCCCTTTTCAAGTTAAATTCATAGTTTTAAAAAAAATGCAAAAAGTTGGGGTACACAGGCCCTGCACCCAGTACAAATACAGTAAATAAATTCCATTTCATACGCATAAAAAAATAGAGACATAGTCACACACACAAAAAAAATACTAAAATAGAGAGTTAACAGAGAAAAAAATGTCAGAGCTCCCAGGCAGGAAATGAGTCTATCCTTACTATCTAGTATCTAGTTTCTTTGTTTTGGTTTCTTAATTTTTTTTTCTTTTCCTGCACTTATATAGCTCACATAAGAAATTAAATCTCATCACACATGGCCAGAATAGTCTTTGAAAAAATTAGCATCCACATGTGAATGCACTTCCTGGGTGTTATCCATGTCCCATTCCAGTAGTATCTGGGATATCAAAAGGACTGGGATATTAAGAAAATAATAACAACCTTCCTGTTGCCAAAAGTCAAATATAAAGGGTAAATTTAACACAAAAGTACTTTTTAACTCTCTTATATGTTCGTTTGTGTTATACTTATATGTTGTATGTTATGTTTATGTGGCAAAGTCCTTCAGGAATTCCGTTAAATTTAACACATAAATAGCGCTCTTAGCATTTAATCCAAATGCTTTCAAGTTCATGTGACTTAAGTAAATTTTTTTTTTTTTTGGAGAGATTTTTCGCTACAGGGCACGTGCGCTCGCCAGACAGACAGAGAAAGACATAGAGACAGAAAGCGAGAAATCACCCCCCGGGGAGATGACCACGCCGCAATCCCTTCTCCTCCATTCTCCTCTTGGGATCTTGGGCATGCACACACATGCGCCTGGCGTGAGTTTTAAGCCACCGGGTCCGAGACTTGAACCGCGGTCGACTACATGGTAGTCCAGTGACATAGCCATTATGCTAACTGCTGGTTCCCAACTTAAGTAAATCTACTACAAATTTAAAAATAAAAGTTAAAAATGACTTCATAGTTGTCGACCTAGTTTTTACCAATCAAACTACAAAATTATTTTGGTATTATTAATTTAATAAAAATAAATTTTAGACTTATCAACAACTTAAGATAAACATCTAATATCCATTATGGTCTATATATTTAACATATTATAAAATGTTAAATGAAAAAATAAATAACTAACTTTCCAGTATCTTTTAGTATTTGAATAGCTCAGACATTAGTTTTTAAAATCTAGTTATTATAAATATGTTATAAAGTTTTCAGGTAATTTTAAATCTTAAAAAAATTAATACTATGCTAAGTTACTATTAGTTAATATAAACTATAAAATTTTTCTCTTGGTTTCTAATTTTTAGAGTTATTTTGTCTTAATAATAAAATTGTTAAAAATAAATGACAAGTCAAATTACTTTAAAAAAAATCAAGGTTAAGAGGGCTGGCAAGTAATATAATAGTTAAAATACTGGACTCCCACATAAATAAAAGTAGTTCAAATCCCAGACCCAACAGCCTCCAAACACATGGTCCTTAAGGCTGTCAGAGGCAATTTTGGTTCCTTGAGTCCTGGTGGCTAGTGTTTCCCCAATATTTCTTAAATTGAACATAGCAGGTGCTGTCACATTATAGCAATCTTTTTTAGAAAGCAGATCAACCACTTTCTTCCTGGCTCCCTTTTTGCTGCCTCTTGTAAGACACTTGTCCTTGCCAACTGCCTTGGTGCTATTCAGAGAGCCAAGGACGATCCAATTTCAAAAAAATAATTTTTTTAAAGAGGTTTTCGCTATAGGGCGCATGCACTCTGTGGGAGGCTGTGCACCAGCGAGTCTGCTGAGGCCATTTTTCATGAGTCTCTTACTATTGCCACCTTAGGCTCAGAGAGCAAACAATTACAAAGGCCACAACTGGCTCCCTTTCAAAAACCTCACCTTCGACACCACACTCTGATTGGCCACTTCACATAGCAAATCGGTGAGCTTAGAATCCCTCAGATTTACATATCTGGGTACCTCATGATTGGTCCACAAAGCAACCAATCATAACCCACCTTTTGCTATCCTTCATTCAAC